CCCGTGGGCCTCCCCCCTGCCTGCGTACCCCCACTGCCGGCCACCCCAGGGTGGCTCTGGTGGCAGTGAAGCAGAGCTGCTCACAGGCGGAGCGGGGTGGCCGGGCTCCCTGCCTCGCCAGCGACACTCTGCAGCGCCACTTGCCCACCTGCGCCCCGAACCCGAGAGCCACCTCCTCGGTACCAGGGCCCCACAGCCGGCCGCGCTGTCTATTCTGAACCATTCACTCAAGCCTGCATTTACATTGTTAGTGCTGGATTTTTATAGAAAGCGTTGAGTAGGGATTTACAAGAGTAGTGGCCGGGCTCCCTGCCTCGCCAGCGACACTCTGCAGCGCCACTTGCCCACCTGCGCCCCGAACCCGAGAGCCACCTCCTCGGTACCAGGGCCCCACAGCCGGCCGCGCTGTCTATTCTGAACCATTCACTCAAGCCTGCATTTACATTGTTAGTGCTGGATTTTTATAGAAAGCGTTGAGTAGGGATTTACAAGAGTAGTTGAATAGTCGACTGTTCAATAGGCCTGGGCTTGCCAGGTAGTCAAGTCAATAACTCGCATTCCCCCCCACCCTTGTTGCCTCTATATCAGAGGCAGCATGGAAGAGTAGGAGCTGGTGCTGGGGGGAGCCGGCTTAAAAGCCAGTCCCTGCAGCAGCATCTTCATGTTGTGGGGTTGGGGTGCAGGAGAGGCAGAAGTGCAGTATCACTGCGGCGCTGCTTTTTAAATGTAATAAGAGCTGGGCAGCCTGCATGCCCGGCTCCTACTACATTTAACCTGCAGAGCCGCTGTGGCCCCTTAACTACTCATGTACTTAACACAAATTGTAGCATGTACAGAATTACTCGGGTACTTGATCCTTACCATCCTTAGTGCTGAGGATAATATTTTTTACTGGCATGCCATAATACTTCATAACGCTCCAGAGTGAATCGTGATGGAGGGTGTAAAGTACTTTTTGAAATCTATGAACTCTGAGTTGTTTAAACCAATTGGTGCTATCTTCAGTGATTATTCTGAAGGTGAAAATCTGGTTAACAATCTACTGGATCAAACACCAGCTTGCTCCTCCCTTAGAATAAATAAAATGGCTGAGGCGAAACCTCCTTGGGGCTATATTGCAGAAGACTTTACCAGTCATTGAAAGGAGTGTGACTCCTTGCCAACTACTGCAATTACTCAGGTTACCCTCCCTTACTAATTTGACTATAATGCCATTTTCCATTGTTCGGGAGGCTTTTCCGGGTCCTATGCTTTGAAGGCAAATTTGGTGACTTTATCAGTGGATTCATCTCAGGCTTTCAACATTTCCCTGGTGACCTGCAGCTTTCCAAAGCTTTAATTTCTGTTTTCAGTGTTGTAGCTGCTGTGTTGGTCCCAGGATATTAAAGAGATAAACTGGGTGAGGTAGTATATTTTTTCCCACCAACATTGTTGGTGAAAGAGAAGCTTTATTTCCATAGTGTCCAACCAGTTCTGAAGCAGTAGCCACTATAACAGCTATTGCTATAGCGAACTAGCCACACTCAACTGGCTAAATAGCCACATGTGACTAGTGGCCAGCATGTTGGACACCATGGCTGTATATGCTTCTCTTCTTCATCAACAAAAACTGATCCAATAAAAGATGGATCACTCACCTGGCCTTTCTTTCTTTACTGTCATTCACTTTGAAATTAAACATGTTATAGTGTTAGTTGTGGGTTTTTGGGGTTCTTTGTCAAAGTCAATAGTTTTCTTGTGCTCTTGATTTGCTTAGCACCTCTTGAAAGAGAACTGCCACTTCACTTGCTTTTTTCCCCTTTTTCTTTCCTTGTTTATCCTTGACAGGCCTTCCTGCTGGTGTAAATTTACCAGTTAGGACCATGTTGAGCCAAATAAAAAAATTGTTTTTATTATCACTTCTTTCATCAGCCACTGAAACCATTATCCATATACTTTCTGTTGTCTCTCTGACACTGCTTTTTACCGTGCAGTCCTTTCTCCCCCTTCCCCCCTTTTTAAATACAGATTTATTTACTTCTTTTTACTGGAGGTGTTTAGGGCAGGGATGTTAGTGTATACAGTAAGCTTCCGATAATCCGGCACCTTTAGGACCCAGGGGGTGCTGGATTATCAGATATGCCGGACTATCGGAAGGGGGGGCTATGAGGAGTCTGGGGTGGGGTGGCGG